ATAATTTTACGAGTTTATACAATTTAAATCAGATTAATACTGTGCTGAATGTCTATAGTTAACATAGAAAAATGTGAAGACCCTCTTATAGATGAGGATCCGTACCATCTTGCCCTGAATATGTATACACATACCTGTATTATTTAAAAATGTAATGTAATGTTTACAGTCAGTCTGGATATATCTATGATTATTCGAAGGGAAATTTTAATAAGTTATACAATCTGTTAGAAGATGTTGACTGGTCAGATCTTCAGAAAGCTGAAGATGTGAATACATGTACTGACTTATTCTATGGAAAGCTTTATGGATGTTTGGACCAAGCGATATTATCCAACTTACTTTTCCTTGGCACTGAAGAAAAACATTAAATTAAAAAATCGTCTTCACAGACAAATTAAGAACGCTAGCTAGCTAGCTTAAGAACCACAATCAAGCACCAAACTGCAAAAGAATGTCAGGCCTATTATGAGACAATAGAACATAATGTCAACAATGACCCCAGCAGCTTTTGGGACTTGTAAGGTCTAAGCATGCAAAGCCTGGTATTCCTTGAGAGGTTATGCATGAGGGTTGTGCCATTAGTGATTCCCAGAAGATATCCAATAAATTTGAATTGTATTTTGGATAAGTATTTCAACAGTCTGAGAAACCAAATTTTGATTTGTGTAATAGTGACTACACATTCTCCCAGATCGCCGAGGTGCAAGTTAAAGCAAGTATCAGAAGGTTAAAAAAAGCAACTGGTAATGATAACATCCCTTCATATATTTACAAAGGGTGTTCAGATATATATTGAGTGCCCCATTAATGAGATTTTTGAAAACATATTGTATCAAGATATCCTGAACTTGTGTATAAACGACTTTGCTCTTCAACAACATGGTTTCTTGCCAGGTGTCTCAACTGTTACCAATTTGAGCATCTTTACAGAGGCAGCAGCTGAGGCTATAAATATAAACAACAGTTGGATGTTGTGTTTACAGGATTGTGCCAAAGCTTTCGATAGGGTTGACCATGGCCTGTTGGTAACTAAACTGGGTAGATCTGGTTTTTCTTCAACTGCATGAAAATTTATGGCATCTTATCTTACCATGAGACCACAACAGGTAAAGGTTGGCAGATCAGTATCAAACCAATACATAGCTTCATCTGGGGTGCCGCAAGGTAGTAACCTTGGTCCTTTGCTATTCTGTATTTTCATTAACGACTTACCAAATTGCATAAACAATTCAGAATGCCTCCTCGATGCTGATGACTTTAAAATATTTAAGCCCATAACATCATCTAAGGATTGTCATGAACTACAGAAGGATTTAGATTTGGTATCCAATTGGTTTCAGAAAAATAAGATGTCATTAAATATCGACAAATGCCATGCTTTAACTTTTACATGTAAAAAACAATACATAAATTTTACATATTGAAAATGTATGGCTAAGCAGAGAGATAAATACAATAATAACTTTGTACAACACTCCAATGAGGCCTAATTTAGAATATGCATCAACTAGTTGGTCACCACAAACAATAAACCATATCGAAATAATTGAGAGAGTGCAAAAGAGATTTCTCAGATATTTGTATTCTAAAAAACAATATATGTATATATATCCTTTTATGATCTCATATAAGAATATGTTGAATGAATTTAAAATGGTCAAATTAAGCTATAGGCGATGTTTGAGTGATGTTTTATTCCTCTACAATGTCTCTAACAACCTTAAGTATAAGAAATGTGATTTATATAAATATGTATTATTTGTAGTTCCTAAAGTTAAACTAAGAATAAGAAAAAACAAATTTTCCAGTGTCAAAAGTTAAGTAGCTGTCCTATAAATAGGTTGATGTACGAATTTAACATTCTTATGCAATGGTGTGATTTAGACCTTTTTTTGTACATCAGTAGGACAAATCAAGGCTATGTTTCTAAACAGCACATTGCCTTGATGCCATTAGTATTATATACTATTTTATATATTATATATATTTTCTTGGTTTTGCATTTTAAAATATTGTTTTGTCTTTGTAATTTATTTTTTGGTAAGGGCTCTTACATTTAAATACATTTGCATGTGTTTGTAGGAGGGTAAATAAATGAATAAAAAATAAATAAGTTTTTTGGCAACAGAGGAACTAAATAAATCATTCTCATCTGAGGTAACTTGTATTTTTGTATGATCATCCATTTAAGCCTTGTCTGATGAAAACATGACAGAGCATTGCTAGAATTTCAATTTCAACTTTACAAATTATTCCACTTTGATCTTCCATATGTTTGTTTGCCAATTAGTGGTGCTGGTAAAGTTGATGTCTCCACTGAATATGGTGATTATTACAATTTCAACAAATGCAGAACTGGCTAATGTTATTTAAAGCAAACATGCCTGAGGTTGAAGCACTATTTTCTAAAAAAGAGAAATAAAAAATACTTAATTCAGGCCATATATCCACAAAGCATTATGAACAACGGTGCAGAGACTTGTCCAAATTACATCACAGAACCATGAAATATCATCAACTGAAGGTAACACTTTGCTTCATCGCATTGTCAGCCATGCTATCCTGTTCTATTTGCTATTTTATTGCTCCATGATTAGTTTGATTGCACTGGTATATATGGTGGAATGAAAGGAAAATATACCAAATTTGTTTTTTTTTGTGTGTGAAAAATAGTGCTCCAACTACAAAAGTTGTTTTAAATTTGATATCGGATACTTCTACATACATAGAAAATTAATGTATCACCTTATTTGGTGGAGGCATGAATATCAATTAGCTACTTTACCAGAAGCATAGGTTTAAACTTGACTTTTAGAAAAAGAATGTAATATTTATGAATTATTTTTAAAGCAGCATCAGATTCACTTATAGTTTTGATTATTACAATCAGCGAGTTAGGGATTTCAGAGGTGTAGATCGCAGATGACTGAAGCTTCTTCAACCAATAAGACAACCCAAAGAATAAGCATATAAAAAGAATAGCGACTTAAAGAATTCAAGCTTCTAAAGACTTATTTTTCTCACAATGCAGTGAAAAAATGAAATACCCGCCTAAGCAACTTCTCTGAACAAAAAATGTTACTTTAAGGCACATACTTCTATCTGAATGGTCAGTTTTTAACTTGAACTGAAAATATTCTGCATACTTTCCAGTTAAGCTCTTAAGATTTTAACATAATGAGTTAGAATTATACAAAGATCTATATTCTTTCAGTGGGCCCACAAGAAGATTGATATGTGAATATGTAGCACAATAATGTAATAACAGTAATTAGAATCTTGATTTTGATAAAGTTTACATATCAAGCAACCTACGATTATTGTAATACCTGGAGTTTTTAAAATGCAAATATCGACCAAACACTGATTTCGAGTTTGGAAAAAATGCAATTTAGGGGTTGACAAACGTCAAAATAGGGTCACATGTTGCTTCCGATACACTTTTGGCACTCAGGTTGTGGGGGGCGAAATGAACAATTCCGTTGCCAGCATAGCTCTTAACGTTAATTGCCTGATTAAACCACTTTAATAGACAGCTCAATTTAGCACAATGGCAAGCTTGCATTCATATATAGTTATCCATAATAAACACAGTCCAAATGTCTTCTGTATAACCCGCCCATGCCTTCGAAAATACGTAATTACCAAAGGTTTTACATACCTTCGGGACCTACACACTACATTTTCGGAGTTACTGAAGTCACACGATCACTATCGTAGTAGTTTTCTTCATTATTCACTAATATTTTAACGGATGTAAGGGCCCGTAACCACCATTTTTTATTTTGTAATTTGTATGTCGACTTTGCAGCAGCCTGGCGGTGTTGTCGAACTTACACTTTTTTTTCCTCAGAAGTTGGAAGAAATGCAGGATAACTCGAAAAGAAAATTGCAGAAAAACTTTTTATACTGGCTCAATAGCTTATTTACACTTATGGGCATGTTGTGCAAAATTTTGTCTTCTATTTCAAGTCACTTTTCACATGCTGGAACCTACGCGGAAAAGAGGCGGAGGCGAAAAGCGACGACATAAAAATGAAAAAGTCAAACTACAAACTTCTATGAGTAATTTTCTCCTATACATTTATGTTTCCAAATCAAATCTTTTTCGAAGTATCAAACAATGAAAATGCACAGACTTGTAGGGTTGTCTCCTAAAACGTTTTCTTTTGCCTCGCTGCCTCTCAAAAACGGAATGACAAACGTCAGGTTTATTTTAACAATGTAATTGCATTCTTATTAGCTTTTCTTCAACCGCATGCACCTACAGATAATGCAATTTAGGTACAATTTCTACTACACGGAAATATCTACACAAAGCGCAAGTAAGCCTTCAACTGAGGCATAATGATGATATACGAGTTTGAGTAGATAGATTATGCATTACGAATATCCCAGTAAAAGAAACTTGTGCGGTTATTCTCCTGATTTACGTAAGAACGCAGTAATAATCTGAATTTGGCAATGGTGCATAAAGAGGACATGGCATTCATATATCAAGGACAGGTCACGTGACCGCAGCAGCGCCAACTACGAATTTCGTGATTCAGTTTTTCAGCCAAAATGAAGGTTCAATCAGTGTTGAAAAATTCTGTTGATGTTAAACTGTGGAATTATAGATAATTACTGATAATGAATCAGATAGATCTATCGTTATCAATTTTGTATTCCCATGTGCGATAAATGAATTCGTGTGTCTCGATGCATGAATACCCTAATTAAAATGACTGATTTGGATTCCACAAATGCAATAATTTGAATTTAAAAACAATTGTAATAAAAGTAAAAGTATTTGAATATTTTTGGTGGATGTTGTTGACACATAATCTAATTATCATAATTTCCACCTTTGAAGGAATATTATCATGCATGGAAATCTAAAATATTGGGACACTTAAATATACCTTCAGTAATAGACAATGATTACGCATGGCGTCCTTATCTAGCAGAATTCAAGCAATAAAATTGTAATCACTAAATTAAACATAAACATAAAATCCAACTGTTTATTATTTACATTAGGTACAAATTTAGCTTATTTTTCAAATCACAAATAAAAGTAGTTTATTAGTCTTTTTATCCCCTACTTATAAACTGTAAAATATCTCTTCTAACTGCTGCCACATCTTCTGGGATAGCTTCTATTTCAGGAGTTCTCTCATTGATTTTGACCTCAGGAAGCTTCAAACTAGTGTTTAATGATTTTTTGCTAAGATCTACAGCCTTGGGGTTCGATACATTTTTAAAAGATATTGATCAGGGAATTGGTATCTGTTTTGATCCACCTTCATTCTCAAGCTTCTTTCCCAAATTCATAAACAATGGGGCAGTATTGTTTTTACTGATGTGGTTTCCAAAACTGTCAAGTTGAACAGGCAAAGGAGATTGTTTTGCAGATATGTTTGAGCTTTTAGTTGTTTTGCTGTCAATTTTTTCAGTCAATTTTATATTTTCTTCAATTATTTGTTTAGTTACATTAACTGTGCCTTTCACTTTATACTGCATATCATTGCTCTTTTCTACAGACTTTGTGTACTTGACTATCTGGTTCACATCAATATTATGCTTTTTTATAACTTCCATCACCTTTTGAATCTGTTTTGCTTGCTCTTGGCTATTAACTTCATTCAAAATTGGTTTGTTGGGGGATTTTTCTGGTATCTTCTCTGGTACATTCGACATCTTCACTTCTTCCAACAGATTTGGTGTAACCTTCTGTTGAAATTCATTGATTTTCTCCCCACCTTGTTTTACTTCACTTGTGTTTTCAATTATCTTCAATCTGTCAGTTTCTTTAGCTGCTATACTTTTTTCTCCACCGCTAATTTTTTCAATAGCTTTCTGTGCTATATCCTGAATTTGCTTGACAGCCTTCACTTTCTCTTCATTCAACTTTTCCACATTTCTAGATTCATCTTTCTTTTGCTGACTTTGAATTACCTCCAAAATCTTTTTCTGGTTTTCTACTAGTTCTTTTTGAACCTCATTTTGTTTTTGAATTGTATCTAACAATGCTTTATTTGGGTCACCTTTAATATCTTGCTTGGCAGCTTGCTCTTCTTTATCTTCTTTTTTAATTGCCTCTATATCGACTTGTTCAAGTTTAGTATCATTTTGAACTATAAGCTGAGTAGTCAACTTCACCTCATTTTTTATTTTAACTTCTTCCTCAGATGGCTCAACTGGTTGTGGGGGTTCATGCCTGATTTCTTTGACCCGTGTCTTTTCTGTGATTTTTAAAGGAATTTCTGTTTTTACCTCAATCTTCTTCATCGTAACAGGTTTTTCTGCTACCAAAATTGTGACAAGTGGTAGAAACTTTTTTTTGACTACAGAAGCATGATGAATAGAATCCACTGGGCTAGTAGAACCAATTTTGTTAACTTCCACAGTATCAACAGTATACAAATTCTCATAGGTTCCCAAAACCATTATGAATATACCCACAAACAGCATTAACTGGGCCACAAGTCTTTCATTTGTATTTTTCTGAGATATGCATATAAAACATGTTATAGGAAAGAGGAGGCATATCATGATGCTAATGGTTGATCCAACTAATCCTAAAACCAATTCTATATTTGGTATCATAATACCAACAACTAATGAAAAAAATACAATCAACATTGTCAATGTTTTAAATCTGCCTTCTGGAATGTAATTTGATGTGCCTTCATGAAAAGTATAACCTTCTTTACATAATAAAGAATATAAACTTGCTCTGCATGGGAATATGATGAGGGGAAAACTAAATGCAATGGACAATATAAATCCAAGCTTGAGTAAATTAGTTATAAAAGATGGCGAGAAACTCAACAGAATGTTTCCAGTAATGTTTTTGTTTGCAAAAGCTATGTATCCAAATGTCCCAACAAATATATATACTGATGTGCATAATGTCATTGCTACTTTCACTAAATTGTTCATTCTATCTAATGTAGCATTACCAATAGCTTGGTACATTTCAAAGAGCTGTGTCTGGCAAAATAAAGCCATTGAAAATATTGGTAAACACTGCATTAACCCTTCTGGCCTCCAAAAGCTCACATTCTGGTACCAATCTCCAGTCAAAATATGTGGAACTGCTTCAAAAACCACATTCAACACTAGACAACAGTAAAATGCAATTGTAGCTTTTGAAACTCCATACAAGCTATCAACATTCCTTAACATTCCTAATGGTAACACAACAAACAACGCCAACGCCATCAGTATACTTGTCCTCATAGTACTTGTGGTAGGAATACTAGTCATTTCAACGACGATCTGCGGTCCCAATTCGCCCATGACTACGAAGAATGCAATGCAGGTTCCAAGCAAGAAACCAATAATGCCTATTTCTATTGCAAATTTTCCAGCGCAGCCGAATATGTGAAATGCCAAGAATTCGAAGGTTTTTCTTCTTGCTATTATTGCTGACTTCAGTAAGAAATGGCAAGATAATCGAGAAATAACACTGCTGACCAGCAGCATGAGTATTGAAAGGATGATACCGCACTGTTTGAAGCAATATGGCATTGCTAGAATGCTGACGCCGATAATACTGTTAGCAAGGGTCATCACATGACCGTTTAGGTTGTCCATATTTATTATTATTATTTTGAGGAAAAGACTGTTGACAAATTTACATGTTTATGTAAACATAACCAACCTTTCGTCAACTTGTCAACTTCAGCTGTAAGACATCTATCATGTTCTGTCAGTTATACCATTGCAATTCAGGGGTGCGTTTGTAAATCACTTGGCAATGTTAAGGTGCGTTCCGATCTGAGCACGGACGCACTGATCCACCGGGAATGCTCAAATGTAAACGGCTATATGCGCGCACGCTCACCCTGTATCTTCATGTGGGCGAACAACAGCGAACTCGATCCGTCTATTGTCGGTCTCAAGACGTTGCTCAAAGGAATTAATGGGTTCGCGAGTGTGGACGAAAACGACAACGCGGCGCACAGGATTAAAGAGTTGATTGTATTTAGTCCAGTAAATGATGAAATGGAATAATACTAAAGTTTTAAAACTCTTGCAAGAATTTGAGAAATTATCGGTACTGTGGGACATTAGGCACGAAGAGCATTGTTCAAAATCGAGTGGTGCATGGAAACAACTAGTAATCAATTGTAGCATTGAACATTTATACTCTTGCGAAGCACAGAAAATAATCAAAACTCTCATTGGAGACATGCCATGGGGTGTTAGTGATTGTACACAAGGTTCTGTTCTGCAAAACCTGCAGACTACCCAAATTCGTTTTGGCGAGAAAACACCAAGCCGCACTTGCGTAACTGAACGCTGGTCTAATAACCATTTTGTATATCCGAACTTTGTCGATCAAACTTAATTTTGAGGTTCTACATAACATAGTTTAGAGTTGCCGAAACGGGATATGGAATTTAGTTTTTAACGCTTCAGTGTGCTTCTACCAGACCTTGTCAAGAGTGACACCGAGATACCTAGGAGAACTTTTCCATGGTACCCGTGCTCGGTTCACAATAGATAGCCTGCGTTTTCCAATGATTAATTTTGACAGACCACCGATACGCCCATTCCAATACCTCGTCCACCGCACTGTGCGGCCTGTCGTGAACCAGACTTTCAGAACACGACTGGGACACCAGCGCAGTTTCTTTATACTCCAACTACCACGAAGGTCTAAGGTCTAAACACCCATGGGGTACCGTGGGGCTATAGGGGGAAACATGGGAAAGGGGGGACGCCACAGGGACTCTGGCGAGGGAACACGTGTACATACAACATGCACACATTCTGGCCCTGCCTACGAGATCCGCCGGGTGGTACCTCCGCGTTCAACAGTCAGAGACCGTCTACCACCTACGGACAATCACAACATCCTTAGCCAAGAGAAAAATTTCTCATGGGACTCAGGAGACCGAAGCGTCTACCACTGCGGCCACCGCTGCTGCCTTCATTAGAATAGAGATAGATTTCTAGTTGCTAGGAAAGGGACGTCATCAATAAAATGTGAATAAAGGACTGGTCCAAGAACCGAACCCTAAGGACACCGGCTTTGATGAGCCGTGTTTTGGACAGAAAGTTATTAATTTTGATACTAAATTTCCTATCACCAAGGAAGGATTTCAAAAGTTTTAGAAGCTAGAAGGGGAAGCCCTTTTGGATCAATTTGTAGGGGAGACCCTTGTGCCACACCTTGTCAAATGCCTTTGAGGCATAAAAAAGCAAGATGCCAGTACTTTCTTTAAGGTTGAATCCCCTGGCTCCTCGCTCAAAAGGCCTGACCGTCTGTAACTACGTGCTATGCTCAGACCAAACGCCCGATTGCATGTCAGGAATGTAATTGTGGTCTGACGTAGAATCACGTTTTCAGCTGAACGAGGAGAAGCTGACAGTAGACTAATGGGATGGTATTCCTTTGGGAATATCGAACCCACCTCTTTTGGAATCATTATAACATCAGCGGTCTTCCACTCCGCTGGCATTGGTTATTGCCACGAGATAAGTTAATTACTTTCGCGAAAGCAGCTTCAGCGCCTTATTATATGTATAGTGATTTGATCGTCTTCAGGTTTTTTACTCACCCTGAGGTCTGTAATATGACCTTGAAGCTCTGTTGGTGTGCAATTCGGGATTTTGAGGGATTCTGCTGATCTGCCTCGTAACTCTTCAGTTAAAGAATCTTCTGAAGAAGTATCCCTTGAGGAAAAATCATTAAGCGAGGTGCCACTACCATTGACGCCGTTGGCCCTAAAATATCTCCTGACGGATTTTACAATGTGTTGCTCCTCGTCGAGATCATTATCATGGTCATAGTTGGGAGAAAACTGTCTTTTCATAGCATCAGCGAAAACCTCGACCGTTTCCTCTGTCCTTAAGACTAGCCCTCAAGGACCATGGATGTGCGGGGGTTGTTCTCGCTTTCCGTGTCTGATAGCCTTGGCAACTGTCCAGAGAGGAATACTTGAGTCAAGCATCCCCGTCAGAAAGTCACTCCATCGCTCATTACGGACTTCATGAAGAGCATTTCTGACTTCATAAATAAGATTCGTTGCTCTGCGAATGCCATCAGGATGAAGCTGCCGGTATTTGGCCAGACACGGAGAAACATTTATTTTAATGCAAATTATTTGACGCAGAGCTCTTAATACCATTCTAGCCTACACACCGAAGTTACTATTTCTTTAGATTTCAGTTGAAAGGTGAAGGAAGGATATTTTGAAGATTATTAACTGACAGAACACACGCATATCACCAATCACTGCTTATGTTCTGTTTCACTTTGGGCGGCAAGACGCACTCTCCATTTCATGAATCTTCATATAGTCTCACATGATACCTGTTTTATATTACTTGGGCTAGAGGACTTCGTGGTGGTCCATAGTCTAAACAATATATAGTGCATAAAGGTAGGTACATTATATACGTTTCTTGTAAATTAAGCAGAATTGGTTTTGAAGAAGAAATCCTAGAAAATCTCAGCTGCCATCAAATATATTTTTATCATATAATTAAACAAAAAATTCAAAATTGCTACAATCATCAAACGCGATTCAAGGAAACATGTGCACTTATCTCTAGGCTAAGTAAAACTCTCAGTTAAAGATTCTCTTCTTTATACATTTTATAATGTTATTCCTTCAAACTTTGAGTATGTAAAATCACAAATTGAACTTATAAGTTATATATCTTAAATCAAGCAAGGCTACAAATCCATAATATTGTAGACATTAAAAATCAATATGTCTATACTTTTTTGGGTATCTTATATTTATTGGACACTAACGTTATTCAGTATACGAAAAGATTGTAGTTAGACCAATAAACATTATTGTTATTATTTCAGTTTCATCCTCATGATTGGGCCTTTTAATTTAAGACAGTGGTTAATTCAACACATACTGTTCGAAATGCCCCCGTAGTTAGCTCTGTGTATTAATTTCCGCATTCTGAGACCTTTCTTGTATCCGTCTGTGATTATTTGCCGTTTTGTGGTGATGTATTCCGTTATTCCGTGCCCCTCTAGTAGATGGTCTTGTCAGTGTCTGTCAAATTTACTGACAATACAAAAACAAACTTTTGGAAAACAGTGTCTATATTTTTATGCGGCAGATAAATTGGAAAGCTATTTAAACGAACGTTTACTTATCTATTATCGTAGTTTAGTCGTTATTTCAGTGTGTTCAAAGTATAAAAACTATAGTGGAACTGCATAGATGGCGTAAGAAAATTATTGATTTTTGATGCCTGAAAGACGAAGTTTGTAATTTGATTACAAAAATAAACTTAGTGTCGAGTGAAATTTCGTAGAAATATTTATTTCCTTATTCCGGTAGCAGAATGTCCGCGGATGAATTGCGAAAACGCACTACTACAAAAAATGAAGAAGCTGAAATTGTAAGTAATCATATTGGGCTTTTATCTTTCAGTTTTAATGCATGTATCAAACAGGTCCGAATCCGAATAAAATTCTTTACACTTGTGCTGTTACTGCAATTGCTCCGCAATGTTATTGGGCTTTAAAATGCAGCGCATGATTTATGGTATAATACACAATGTTTTTTATTATTTGGGTCAAAACAGTTCCACAACCTGGCTTGGTGGCTCATATTCCAGATCTGGCTCTTTTTTTTTCTGCAAAGTACCTATTGAGGTATGAGGTTTTGTGAAGTTTCAAGGTCCTAGGTAGAACGGCTCGATCTGGAGAAAAAAATGCAAATTTTAGCATTTTGGAAATTTTTCCTCCTCCTCTACCTCCCCCTGTTATTAGAAAGCATTAACCACCAGAATATATGACTATTCTGAAGTGTAATCATCCAAGGGAGTCAAATGTGACCTCAAAGTTCTGATATAATAATTCATTTGGCAGATATTTCAGTCAAAAGTGATTTTATCAAATGTTCCTTACTGGTTTGTTGGGCTGACAATTTGAATGCCTTCCAAAATGAAAAACACTTTCCAGAGTGAACCGTTCACATAGGAATTTGAGATTTCACAAAGGGTCATCAACTTCCCCAATTAGCTGCTCTAAAAATGCAATTTTGTCTTAATATAATTGCCAATAAGCCAATTAAGCTTTTAAGAAGTATTTTACCATGTAAGGTAGTTGTAAGAATGTTCTTAGAGCAAAAAATATAAAACAGTTTTGGGACAAGTTTTAATACTGTTTTGTAAATGTTTACACAACAATTAAGATTTATACTGATATTATCCGATACGAGTTTATTCATTTCAATAAAAATGTTTTTATGGGCTCGGTGGAAGAATTATAAAATTAATTTATTAATAGCTTGTTGCACTTCCGACTTCCTAACTAGGAAAGATGTTTTATAATTTTCAACTGTCCAAGGTCAGTTAAATTAAGGCAAGAATGTGGATTTCAATGCTTAACCACACCCTGTTTCAAAGTTAAACAAATTTAAAGACATTCCAGGGTTATCCGGGAAAATGAACGCCTTATCCATTCTTCTTATACTTATAAATGCGTTTGTATCCTCACAAACATCTTTTATACTCAAATTACCATGAAGGCATAAGGCATAAACATCCATGGGTTACCCTGGGGCTATAGGGGGATACAGGGGAAAGGGGGGGGACACCACACTGACTCTCAGTAAGGGACCATCTACTACCTATGGACAATCACAACA